TTCTCAATCCCTAGGCACACCTAGAGAATAATTTACAATGCATCAATAAAATGATGCAATACCATAATTATTTCATAAGCATACATTTTATTGCTTATTTTCCTTTCTTTGCATTTTTGCCAATCCTATGCCAATACACAAGTCTAGACCTCTTTATAACTGTCGGTGTTCTTTAATTTAATCAACCATTCCCTTAGGAATTTTCAACATAAATCATGCTATTTTTCTTCAAAACTCATCACCTTTATACAATTTATTACAACACATTTTATTTAAAATAAAATGTACAAAATATATCCCTAAATACCCTATAGGTCGAATCCTACAAGGGGAATTTCCAAAGATCCTTCTCTTTTACAATGCATTTTCGTTACTTCATTACAACTTGCAAACACCTAGGAATGCTTCCACTAAATTCCTATTTTGAGTTTAGACACCAAGTCCTTTTTACTTAGGCATTCTTACTAACTCATCCATTTTCACTCATTTCCAACACACTATACCTTCACAATACATAATATAATTTTTTCCACAATAACTCCTACTCACTCCATGATGGCCGAAACCTAGGAGGAATATGCAATAGGACTTTTAAATTTTTATATCACATGTGGATGCTTACTCAACACTATAACTTCCTAAACAACAATAATCCATCATAAATTTCACATTCTAACATCAATTATTTCCCAACAAAGTATGCTCATCAATTTCATAACTTAAATCATCAAAATAATATCATGGAAATAGAGGTTTCTTACCTCTAAACACTTGTACAAAGCCTAGAGAGCAATCTCCAAGCCAAGCTCCATCCAAAAACTCACTTTTTCTCCTCCAATGAATAGTAACTCGAAAATGAGAGGAGGAATAACTCTTCACACACTCAACTATAGCTCAAATGGATAGGTGGAATGGATTCATTGAGTGGTTTCCAATCAATTTCATGTGGTGGGTCATTGGATTTGGTGGATGGATGATGAAGAAATCAAAGAAGGAAAATTTGAAACCCTAGCCCCTTCCCCTCCATGTGCAGCTCGGCCATGCAAGAGAGAGAAGAAGAAAATCTGAAATGAATAGTGTTTCATTTAAGTGACAAGGCTATATAGGCACATGTGGCCATTTTCATCGGATGTTTTTTTATCGCGTATTTTAACTTAAATTGACCCGGAACTAACTCAAAGCTACAAACATATTTTTTATTTCCTAAAATCATTTACATTAATTTTTATTTCCTAAGGAACAATATTCATAATTCACAGTATGGTTTTTGCACCGTTTTTGACGAAATGCACTGTGCATCACTAATTGTACTTCCTTTACTTACGAAACTTAAAACTTATAAACTTATCATTTTCTTGGGCCTATATTGACTTGCTTGGCATATATTGGACTTTCTTATTCTTATTTCATCAATTATTTATTTCTGGACTCTACCGGTTGCTTAAACAGCAGTACAAAATACCCGGTAGAAACACTATTCACGAGATTTTCACGGAAAGTGCCAGACTATACAATTTTTCGTTCTGAACTCATATTTGTCATCAGAATTTTCAAATTATGTTCCTAAAATTATTTTGCTCATTTTAAGCTCTACCGGTTAATTCACAAAACTGTAAATTCTCCGGCAGAACGCACTGTTCATCACATAGTCATGATTACAGTCAAAATACTCGAAATCGCTCACTGAATCTAATTATGGCATTTAAATCCTTAAATTAAATCTCTAACTAAGATTTATCAGTTAGGGTCATTATAAGGGACATCCATCATTATGGTGTCGACACTTCATCACAAATCTATGGTCATCACTTTTTGCCACAACGGCAGTACGGTGAGCCTTCATACAATATAATTTGACTGTATGTTGCATTTCAGATTTGCTACGAAACTCCTGATACAAATATAAAGGATCCCCTAATTGCCAGCCACCGTGATCATCATCGTCACCATACAATATCTCCGTCTCATCATTAGGGTGGGCCCAATTAATGAAGGTATAATGTGAGCTTTCATTCCAAAATGGCTCGACCTCAGAACCTACGGATGCATTATAATGCCACCGTCAATACCATTCATAACAAAAAAAATAATTGCTAAATTAAATCTTTAAAAAACAAATCTTACCACTGCTAACAGGGTCAACACGAAGTGGTCTCGTAACCTGCGAACCCGGGGATGGTGAGCTTGTGTCAGCGTCGAAATCACCCTCTACGTCAGTATCTGACGTGTCACCTAGTGGAATAACACTCTCAGGTTCACCGTCCTCATCGCTGTCCATATCGGCATCCTGTTCATCCTCATCTATTTCCCGCAGTGTTATCTGACTTATGACATGTGCAGGTGCAGATAAATCGACTACTCTTTCTTCATGACCAAAATACGGTTCACTTCTTGTATGCATGGGTGCAGATGAAGATTGACCACAATCTAATTCAACATATATCTCAATAAAATTTTGAAATTTTCGGTCAACAATTGCATCTATGACACATTCGACATCTTCATCATCACATATATCGTTACCAATGTAGTAAATAACATCCTTACCAACTGTTGTCTCTACCCTGGAAATCATCCGTTGAACGCATTGGCTGCCTTGCAAACCCAATTTTTGCTGAATTCTCTCCTTTAACTCATTGTATGTAGTGCCCCGTTTGATTTTCAACATTTTCGTTTTTCCTTCAAATTGAACACCATTGGGGCCTTCATAATGCTTTCCATCATAGTAGATCATTGTCACATACATGTTTGGACTTGTGCTCATCTTCCTCACGAAATTGGGACTTGGGTTCTGAAATTGGGGGTTTGGGTTCGGATTTTGGGGTTTGGAATTGGGCAATGACAATGATTTCACAATATTAGGTCTGTAGAGATGGTGGGATGAAATACAATCGGATTGAGAGGATTACACATGAACAAAGGGAGTTATTTAGGTTTACACAACAACAACAATCGAAATGAGACCGAAAACATGGAAAATATAGGGTTTCAGTCGACATTTAGTCGACTAAATATCGATACTTAGTCGACTAAATATCCCAAAAATGTAGTCGATTAAGATGATTTTTTAGTCGACTAAATTTGCGGAAGTCAACTTTCTGAAGATTGACCATTTGCTCGACTAAAACAGCAAGGTAGTCGACTAAAAGGGGGCAGGTTGGTGGATAGTTCTTGATCAGGGGCAAATTGGTTATTAATTAATTAATGAGGGGCAAAAGGGTCAAAAAGCCATAGTTAGACTGTGTGGTACTTTCCGAATAGTATAACAATTTATCTAATTTTTTTATATTCCTTAATTTTGGTTGAATATAAGTTTCAATCTTTTTCCATAAATTTTATTCGCATTGCTTAACCCTATTTTCATGCCAAAAAAAATTTACACCCTTAATTTATGTTATTTTAGTATTTTTGTCTTTAATTTTTTTATTTTTGAATTAACTCAAAATTACGTACATGAATAGGTGTAGATATATTAGGGTAAAGTTTGAATCCGAAATCTACTCAACCTAACTCAAATATAAAAAAAAATAATTAAATTTATTTGGGTAAGAGAAAATAAACTTGACCTCGTCGAGTTTGAGTATCAAGATTGTTGGAAATATATAAGTGCGAGTGATGAATTTACATATTAGTTAGAGATGAATTAAATGGAGATGATATAAGTTGAAACACATAATTTTGGGCTTCTTATACCATTTTATTAGTTAGAGTCAATGATTTGTCTAGACCATGTATTTGAGGCTAATGTAACTCTGAAGAGACTATCGTAAAAATTGTCTTTGAATATTGAAAATTTTCAAATGTGAATGATGAAATTCTATATTGGTTAGATTTATATATTTAATATATTAAAATTTTGGGTTGAAATATGATATGGACCTATTTATTTATTGTTGTTTGTCATTTCACTCATCAATAAATATATCCCTTATGAACCTTCCCCGTACCATGAGTAGAGAATTAAAATTTGCAAACCCTGTGTAGAGAAATTAAAATTTTACAAACCCTGAGTAGAGAAATTTTTAAATTTTTGAGTTTTTTTTAATGAAATTTGTTTTTAAAGATATAAATACATGCCGGCCCATCAAGCTAATATGAAGTAATCCTATTTCCATTGTGTTAGTTTGGTTTGAGTACCTAGAATTCTTTGATCAAAATTGAACTGGTCCAACCTAGCTAAGGTTTTTCAATCAACTTTAATTTATTATCATTTTAAAGAATATAAGTTTATGTCTTTTTACTCCCTTATAATTATGTATTCTAGTGAATACATAATATTAAAGTTATTTTTTTCTTTTTCTTCAAAAACTTTTCAGAAATTTGTCAGTTGACGTAGAGAGAGAAAAAAAAGCAACTTTCATATTATAAATATATACTCCTCAAAATATATAACTATAAAAAAATAAAATAATATAAATTTATATTCTTTAAAAGCAAATACACTAAACCCACATTTTACAACCCCAAAACCACACACTTACTCAAAATAAAAGAATTGTACAGTGGAAGTTACCTAATTGTGTAAGACAATTGGTGCAATAAGGAAAAAATAATATCTCATACAATCCAAAATAAAATATGCTAGCAACACACTCTTTAAGAACAATTTTTTATAATTAATTGAATTTTATATAAATTCTATTAAGAGGGTTTGGTACACGGCATTTGGCCGGATTCCCAGTAAACTGAATTTTTCTAAATTTTAAATTTTCGGATATTATCGTAAACTGAATGTAAAAATCATATTTTTAAAAATTGAGATTCTCGGACAAATAAAAATTTCTCCTTTACCAAACGACCCCCAAAATTGTTTAGTGAGAAATAATATAACATTTCTCTAGCATGCAAATACAGCCATGAGAATTACGTCCTCCTCAATTTAAACTCTGCCACGTACTTCCAAAGGTGGCACACTGCTACTCTTTATCTCTTTGTGTCTCTGGTTTTGATTGTGCACTTTTTGTTTCTCTCTCTAAGTGAACTTGAACTTGAAGTTGAAGATGAACTCTCATAGCCTCTTGGCTTCTGCAACCATAAACATAGGCGTAGCATTCATAATTCTGTCACTCTTCTCTATCCTCAAGAAACAGCCTTCCAATGCTTCAATCTACTACGCTCACCGTCTCTATCACCGTCACTACGTCCCTTTTGATTCTCCCTCCTCCTTCCACCGTTTCCTTCCTTCCATCTCTTGGATTTCTCGCGCTTTCTATGTCACTGAAGATGAGATTATCGAAGCTCATGGCCTTGACGCTCTTGTCATCATTAGGCTCTTCAAATTTGGGTTAGTTTCAACTCTTGAACTTAATTTCACTTTCAGTCTTTGCATTATAGTAACTGGATATTATCATGCTTTTTTCTCTAACAAATAAAAAAGATTTAAAGGTAAATGAGGCCTTGACATTAGTTAAAAATATAATAACATAATCGCCAAATATGTGTTAGTTTCGGCTTAACCATTTTCACTCACTTTGTTAAAAACTTAGAGAACTTTGCTACCCCTTTGGTCTTGCTAGTTCAATAAGATTAGTCAAGTAATTGATCAACATGTAGAGAAATAAAAAAAACAAAAAAAAACAATAACATAAGTAGTAGTATAACTTAAAATGATGCTAACTTAAGAGTCGAATCATTTCTTTTTGGTATACCAAATCTAATTATCTCTTTGAGACGAGTTGCCCCAGATATTTTCACAAGTTTCAACTTTGATCTGGTTATACGACTAATCCCGATAGCTTAGTCACAATTAAATCTTTTTGTCCTCTCTAAAGATGTATTTGGAGGGAATCAAACCTAAATTTTCCCCCACCGACTCAGCTTGTGTTGGCAATTGAGTTACACTAATTGGGTATAGACAAATCCTTTTGCTTGTGAGAAGAGCAGATATTTATGACATGGAAAAACAGATTACCTTAATTTTTATGAAGTGGGTTCATGAGGTATTCAACTTTCTACATCCATGCTGTATATGTATCATGCATTAACCCTGCCTAGTTTCCTGGATTTTGCTTAATTTTACTATCATATTCTTGTGTTATATATTTATTTATTAATTTTGGGTTTGCAGCATTAAGTTTTTTGCGGTGTGTTCTCTTGTTGGGTTGGTGGTACTTGTCCCGATTAATTATGGTGCCCTGGAGGTTCGGAATAGGAGCTACCCTACAATGGATTCTTTCACAATATCTAATGTTGGTAGAGGTTCTAAAAGGTGATATTGTTTTGGCTCTGCTGAATGGAGTTACTCGCATGATCATATGCTGTTTGTTAGAATTGTATGCAGTCTTTTTGTTTCTCCCTCTCCTCCTACGGTTGTTTGTATTCTGTAACTTTTGGAAGTGGTTTTTGGGAAATGGGTATAGTGATTTTGAATCTCTACCTACAAGCACAAAATAATTTTACTTGATGCATTTATTTTTATCAAATCATAGCAAAGCTGATAGAAAAGAATAACTGGTTTTTCTGTGGAAAAAGAATAGCTTTACTGAAAATTAAACGGAAGGATTTGAAAGAAAAATATTCAATTGTTAGGCACAAACATGTTCCAATTTAGTGTTGAACCACTCTGTTCTCTTTCTGTTGACTTCCTTCTTTTTCCCTTCTAACTTCAACTTTGGGAAATTTCCTACCTAAAATGTGTAATTTTTTTACTAATGCTTCCATGTTTAATAAATTAATTCAATAATTACATAGTGAAAATCTACAGGTTTAGGAGCAGAGTTTTGGGATATTTTCTCCCAAGTTCTTAGGATGTTAAATATTCGATTCTCACCTGCTATGGACTTGTATTTCCAATTTTGGATGATTAACCAAAGAGTGGTTAATAACATTCAAAGATGGCTAATAACTCGATATTCAAGTTAATTTAGCCTAAATTGGAAATATATTCACCAGGAGATCCTAATTTGTAAATCTCTGCTATATGTTAAGATTCTTTGGAAGAATACAAATTGTGGGTCAGAATGGGTAGGAGAAATGTTTTATTTTGAAGTGTTTAGAGGATGGTAAGCAGGCTGAAGAGGCAGGCCATGGGGAAGGGTCAGGGGAAATGCTCCAATGACCTCTCCTTCAGTCAATTTTGTTGTGTCTAGCACATTTGATTTCTTCCCTTATGGTATTAATTGATTCACAACCTTAACATAATTTGTATTTGGTACATGAGATAGGGAGAAACAGACTGTTTATCATGAGTTTGATATATAGCTGGAGTGGGCTTGATTACCTCATTGGACAATTTTTCAATTATCATTTGATTTGTATTCTTATTATCATACTGGGCATCATACTAATATGCTCTATATACAAACGTGTGTCTGCATATACTACATGTATATGCATATGAGTTCCTACACAAGGTAACAGGTCATTATCTTGCCTGTTTTATTGCACATTTTTGGATCTTGTTTGTGGTAATTTATGATTTAGCCCTAATGTTTTTCTGGCTCCCACTTTTGACACACAAAGCATTAAAACTTATATGGTTTTATGATTTTCTAACAGGCTTTGGGTGCATTTTGCATGCTTGTATTTTATATCTTTCTATGGGATGTACCTACTGTATAAGGTGAAGTTTTTAGTTTGATATCTATCAGCTTTGTTGTTCAAAAAATAAAATAAAAAAAATAGACCCTTCTTGGAAGCATTATTGATTTTTTTACTAACAATAATTCTCTAAGAGATATGCCTATGATTTTAGAGTATTGGAAGTTATTTATTCAAGTTAATATTACTATTGTCTTCATGCATGATTTCATCTCCAGGAATATCATGAAATTTTGATCCGAAGGATTCAGCAACTTCAAAATTTAAAGCATAGACCTGATCAATTTACTATTGTAGCTCGTGAAATTCCATTATGCATTGAACACAAGGCTCACGACTGTTGTGTTGATCATTTCTTCTCTAAACACTATCCAAACAATTATTATTCATATCAAATGGTGTATGACATTGCAGATCTTGAAGAGTCGGTGGTAAGATATGCCCTATTACAATTTACAACAACGAATTATCACGCATTGCGTTTGTATGATGCTTGATGAGAATTTCTAATTAATTTACTATATGCTAACCTTGAATATTGCATTTTGTTTAAGAAATCTGTTTGAGATGATCTTATATCCTTATCTAGTATTAATAATTCATGATAATTAACATAGATTTTGGGAAAATCATGATTCATTTCCTGGTTTTATCAGAGTGAAGTTTGTTGAGAACAATTTTTTTGAACAATTTGAAATTCTTCTTTACTGTTTCCCTTCCAATTTTATTCTTTGTGCACATAGGCATTTTTTGGATACAGCATCATTTATTGTTAGAAAAAAAGAGCACTTTGTAGAACCCAAACTTGTGAGGGTAGCAATGAGAAAATCTTAGTACATATCCTTATCCTTGCATTTGTTTTTTTGCAAATTGGTTGTTTCCTAGTATTTCTTGTTAGAATATATGAACAATATCTGATAATATATTAATTGTATCTTGGAATAGTTTAGAGTTTCTTAGATGATCTCTTAGGAATAGTTTTCTTATTTATTTATATTTCATGATTTATTTCCTTATTTCATTAAGATTTGGAGTCTAACAATAATATAAATAGGAATTAGTTCTTTGTAAATTACATTACACCATTACACACCATATATCAATATTAGTTCTATTATTTATAGTTTCAACATTTGTAAAAGGAGTTGGGTGATCGCATACTCATGCTATGGGTGGGCATGAAATGGTGTGGCTCTCCCCTACATGATTTAGTAGGGGATCTAACACATGTCCTACCTCTAAGAGACGCAGCATGTTTCTACTGTGCCACACCATGCAATAGGCAATCATTTCACAGGCAGACATTGATAGTTCTGTAGCCTCTGCTGTGACCACTACAGTTTGTTTTGTCATCAACCTTCGCAAATTATGCAAATCAAATTCTGAATTATTTAAAATTGGAATAGCATAATAACATTTTTAAACAAAATCTTCATATCTTGAATTTTGCAAATCAGTAAATGCTTTTGATTGGCTGCAGAATACAAGTGTGCCAAAATGAAATTTGTTGAACCTAATTTTTGAATGGTAGGATATTTTTATCCTTTGTATAAACATAGTGCTGGTAATAAAGCACTTTGTTTTTCAACGCCCTGAGATATATGGCTGTATATTTTTTTGCTGGCTACCTTCATTTTGAACATATATTTTATACAAGGTAAATTGTATTCATTGTCCCCAAAATACATAAACTCTGTTAAGACTCAATGGATCATTTAGTTGAAGTGATGGAAAAAAATTCTACTTTTATTATTAAGTCATGGCAGAAAAACTGAGTTTATTGTATTTGTTAGAGCATTGAAGAAGACAAATTTAGTTTGAATTTCTCTAGTGTGTAATGGATCCTCTCACAGATATTGTTGCATGCAGAACCAGGCAAAGTCTCTTGCAAGAAAAATAGAGGACTTGAGAGAGACTTCCGTGGCCAAGAAACCCAAGAATAAGTTGCTACTCTTGGATTTATTACAACAAAAGACTTCAGAAGTAGCTTTGCTTGAGGAAAAGCTTCAAGCACTTTGTCACAAGATTCACCTGTTACAACGCAAAGACACGCTCAAGAAAAAGGTAACAGTTTAATTTGTAATGGTTGAACACTTTTATCTGTAAATCTTCGTGTAAAACACATCTATCTCATTGTGCTAATGAATTTTCGTCTCCTGTTCTGGAAATATTAAAAAGATTAAATACCATTTTGGGTCCCTAACAAAATACACGGTATCCAGTTTAGTCCCTTAAAAAAAAATTAGTCTCGAGATTCCTGACAAATTCAAAGTGGACCTATTTTAGTCCTTTTGAAGGACTAATATAGGTCTTTTTGAATTTGTGAGGAACCATGATTTCAACTAAATGAGTCCACTTTGTCAGGGACCTCGAGAATAAATTTTTTTGTAAGGGACTAAAATGGGTACCGTGTTTTTTGTCAGGGACAAAAAAGATATTTACTCTATTAAAAAACTGCTTTTTTTCTACGTAAAAAGTTAGATGAGTTACAAGTCATAGTTTTCTTTTAATTTTTTAACTTCTAAAAGAGAGAGAAAATAGGCAAGAATGATTAAGTGTCTTGATCATAATTTATTTTCTTTTTGCAGATGCATCTTAGTTGCTCATTGCTAGTAATCCTTGATGGAAATTCATTATTTATCTCAATTAGTGAATGGGTTTATTTATATGTATCACCGAGTATATGTATCTCTACTGAGGAATAGTGCTTTTGATTGGAAAATAATATTATTTAGTAAAGCATTCTTTGTGGCCCTTTTAGGAAAGCATTCAGAAAATAGGATAATAAGGATTTGGAGACCAAATTTAAGTCAAGGTGGTTGATGCATTCTTGGGTTGAAAGTAAGCCAGGTGCTTTCCTTTTGGTAATATAAGCCAGGTTCTTCATTGCTCATCAATTACATAGGAAAACAAGAGGGACAAACATGACTAGTGAAGGTGGGGCAGTGCCCCCTGCCGCGAAAGGAGAAGTAGTGTCTTCTGAGCACACAATTTATCAACAATAATGAATATGATATTCAGAAAGGAATATTTTGAGAAAGATAATGTTCAGTAGTCCAAGCTAAAATAAAGGGAAGTAAGCAATGATCAAGCAGATTTGTTTTGTAAAGGTTCATGGTAGTTTGAAAGCTTCATGCTTTTCTGCTATGAGGCCTATGCATAGCATTTGGATGTTTCAACAGAAAAGATCATTTGTACATATCTAGGAGTATTACGATCCTAATTCCTAAAACAAATGTAAGGTTCCTTTCAGGTAAAGTTAATGTATAATTCTTGTTTTGTTAAATTCCTTATTCATATCATTATGATAACATGGGTATCTTGTGCAGTTACGTTTGCCTATTTATTTCTTTGAAAATGGTAATAAATGATTGTTGAAAGTTTTATTCTATTGTCTGATTACAAAGGATGAAAACAAAGTATCTTGATTTGTTTTACGTATTAGGAGTTGCCTGTTGCTTTTGTAACATTCAAGTCTCGCTGCGGTGCCACAGTAGCAGCTCAGTTGCAACAGCATTCACATCCGCTTCTTTGGATCACTGAACGGGCCCCAGAACCAAGGGATGTTTCATGGAGGAATATGAGAGTGTCCTACAGAGTAGTGCCACTTTATAGACTTGGTGTTCTCATTGCAGCATCGCTACTTACAGTTTTCTTTGCCATACCTGTTACTGCTGTTCAAGGAATAGCCAAATACGAGAAACTGAAGAAATGGTTTCCTCCAGCCATGGCTGTGCAGTTGATGTGAGAATCTTACTCTAGTGCTGGCCCTTTTGATAATTAAGAATTTAAAAACATTTGCTTTAGACTTTTATTCACTTTTGGTTAAATGCAATCCCATTGCATACATTTGATCATTTCTTAGTTCATTAAATTCTTTGGAATTTCAATCCGGCCATCCCGCTGTGAATGAAAAGAATTTCCATATGAATTGGCAAGACATAGGACTTTTTGACCGTGCTAGTTCGTTTTTCAAAATTTTTGACCGGATCAAGCTCCTAGTCAAATTTATTACCAGACTAATGCAGAGAGATGTGACACCTGACATGCCGCTTCTAAAAGTGGTAGTAGGCCTGACGTGTTTAATGTTGACAAGAGATATGGCACCTGCCATGCCACATCTAAACATGATAGTCACACTACCACGTTTACGACAAATATAAACTCGGTTTCACATGCCACGTGGCGAAGTCACACTAAACGTGTCACTGCCACATTTAGATGTGGCATGTCAAGTGCCAACTCTCTTGTCAAGGACCCATTGTCATGATACGCGTCAGGTATACTACCATGTTTAGACGCAGCATGTCAAGTGTCACATCTTTTGCATTAGTCTGGTAATAAATTTGATTAAGAGCTTAATCCGGTCAAATTTTTTGAAAATCAAACTAGTACAGTAAAAAACCCGACATATAGTGAAGGTTGCTTTATATGTAACCTGTATTTTCTCTCACTAATTACTACGTACGTAGTAGGAATCATCAATTGGGTTCCATTTGAATTATTGACGCTATGAATAAGATAACTAGGATAAATAACTGGAACATCTCCCTTCTCTCTCGGTCTCTCTCTTTCTTTTTTTGTATATAAATGGAATTAAAACAGCAAGAACTACAAGACCCTGACCATTCTTGGCCAGGCTACACCTCTATCATCCCTCCCAATGACACTACCACATCCTTCATGAGGGTATTCCAAGTAAACAGTATCCCACCCAAACGAATATGCAAAGTTCGCAAGCCAATCTGCTACCCCATTTCCTTCTCTATAAACATGAGCCCATTCCAATTGCCAATCCCAATCCTTGAGCTGTCTGATCCTGTTAACTAGACCCGCAAGGGGGTGGTTTCCAGCAATTCCCTCCTGAATCATCTCCAGAACTATCAGAGAATCCCCTTCCACAATCACTCTTCTATGGCCTAGGTCCCAAGCCATCTGCAGGCCCAAAAGAGTTCCCCATAACTCAGCTTTCACGGCACTGCAAACTCCCAGAAATTTAGCAAAACCCATCATCCAACGACCAGCCTCATCTCTTAGGACACCCCCACAGCCGCCTTTTGAATTTCCACTCTTGGATGAACCATCGGTATTTAATTTTGTCCAGCCTACTGGAGGGGGTCTCCATTGCACCAGAGTTTCCTTTTTCAGGTTCCTCTGAACTAAGAGCTCTAGCAAACAGATTATTAGCATCTAAAAAATTCACAAAGTGAGTGTATGCCAACCTGTTAGTATTTCCTTCACCAGGTAGCTCCCCTTCAAAAAGGAATTTATTTCTTTCCTTCCAGATACACCAACATACAATACCAAAAAGGATGTTCCCATTCTCACCTCTTACCATGCACGTCTTTGGATCCAGGTTCTCATACAGCCAAGCTTGAAGCGGCAGGGAATTGAATTTAATCCATTTATCTGGACTGATTAAAGCTTCCCAAGACCTTGCTGACCAGGGACAACTCCTCATAACATGTAAACAGTCCTCCTGTTCATGCAAGCATCTTGGACACATACTTGACTCTGACAAATGTCTTTGAACTCTTCTCAGGTTAGTCAGCAGCTTCTCACCCATTAAAAGCCAAAGAAATGTTTTAGCTCTAGGAGGACCCCCCCACTCCCACTCCCAAACAGTATTCCACTGATATTGCAAGGTATTCAACTCCCCCTCACAGAGCAAGGATACAGCAGACTTCAAAGCAAAGACCCCATCTTGGGAGAGTTCCCATATAATCCTGTCCTCCCCCTCTTCTGGTATAGGAGGGCAAATTCCAGCAATGAGGTTTCGGGCCTCCTGGGAGATTAAAAAACTAAAATCCTGCCATTTCCAGGACTTATCCACACCAACCATGTCAGCCACAACCATCTCCTGCATTTCTATAGGGATTTCCTGAACCTTGTGATTCGGTCTCTCTCTTTCTAGTGCATTCAATGAACACATTTTCATGTTTGTATCCAATTGCTTCCTTAGCCTCCAATTTCTGCTTAGAATTTCTTTTTTCTTCTACAGACTCTCTCGTGATTTGTCTGACCAAATAAATAGAAATATCAACAAAAGGAAAGATATACAAATGGAAATTATTAGGTAGCCGAAATCTTAGTCAGAATGAGTTGATGTTTTTATTGATTCTTGGATGGATAAGTAGCCCCATCTCTTTGATTTATCCAACAACCATCTTTGAATCTTGACAAACACTGGCCGGATCTTGTCAAGCTTTTTAGCTGGGTAGCATTACTCTGTGTAAAAAGCTTCCAAAAATTTTTAAGAAAAAATTTCAGAAAATTTAGAATCAATTAATATAAAGTGAATTTAGAGCATATAATAGAGAGACTGAAAGGTATTGTCATTACATAAAGGTAAAAAGAAATTCTATAAATTATTTTGTATGCAAGCATGGATCTATTTACCTTTCACATCGTATATTCTTAATAATTTATAGATTAGTGTCTAGTGTAGAAGCTAGAGTATTTGTTTCCTTATCTTTCTCTGACATGCAACATTATGCTCATTCTTTAGACCAGGATTGAGCTCTATAGTGACAGGATATCTTCCAAGTGTTATACTCAAAGGATTTATATACGTTGTGCCATTTGCAATGTTTGCTATGGCTAAAGTAGCTGGATGTATTGCAAGAAGTAAGGAGGAGATCAAAGCCTGCAACATGGTTTTCTACTTTCTGGTTGGAAATGTGTTCTTCGTCAGTGTGTTATCAGGATCCCTTCTTGATGAAATTGGACAATTTATTAGTCAACCTAAAAATATTCCTAGTCATCTTGCCAGGGCCATCTCCGCCCAAGTATGTTGTTTTCTTTTCTGTTATTCCTGACATATTCTGTCTAATTTGTGTGTATTTTTATTTATTCCCTTCATAATATTTTGAATATTGTTGAAGCTTTATAGAAGTTTTCTTCAATGACTGGGGCACACTTTCAAGAATTATTTTATGTACTTTAAATTTGTCTAATTTGCTTATATTTGGATAGTTTGCTAATGAGTTTCATTTTCTTCTGTACTTTGTTCCAGGCACATTTCTTTGTGACATACATATTGGCAGATGGTCTTTCAGGGTTTTCTTTGGAAGTTCTCCAACCTGGCTTACTAATTTGGGATATTTTGAAGTCTTGTACCTGTGGCTTTCAACGAGAGAGAAGTCCTTATCTTTATTCATTACCTTACTTTAGAATTATCCCCTTAGTCTCTCTCTCAGTACTCATTGGCATAGTGTATGCAGTAGTTGCACCATTGTTGCTCCCATTTCTCATTGTTTACTTCTGTTTAGGCTTTGTTGTCTATATCAACCAGGTGAGCTTATCAGTATCTTCAAACACTCATTTATTGTGTTTTTCTATAAAACAAATTCACATGCACAGTCACTGACACACAAGAAATGTTCTGTTACAGATTTTTTAGTTGTGATTCCAAGTTAGTCTAAATTCTAAAATTGTTCATATTGAAATAAAGCAGTTACCATTGACCCTGGCAAAGAATTGTCTTAAGCAGTGTAAAACTTGAACTTTGCAGATTCAAGATGTGTATGAAACTACTTACGAAACATGTGGACAATATTGGCCATACATTCATCACTACATTCTCCTTGCAATCATTCTGATGCAGATTACTATGATTGGTCTATTTGGACTGAAGTTAAAACCAGCTGCTGCTATATCAACCATTCCATTACTTTTGTTCACATTGATGTTCAATGAGTACTGCAAGATGCGTTTTCTCCCTTCCTTTCACCATTATTCTCTCAAGGTACACTTCACTCCTCATAATTATTAATGAAAACGGATTTTACTCCTCCAAAGTGAGGGATGCCCTTTAGAGAGATTTTAACTTTATAATCTGTTATATATGTATTTTATCTCAACTGTTGATTTTCCATAACTATGCAATTTTTTCTCTAAAATACACATCTCACTTAAGAGGAATCAGATTCAATGAGGACAAGGAATATATGCTATATATATGGTATAGGATAATAATAATAATAAGTTCATTCTGAATTAAGAGTTTTAAATTTATCATTTCTTGTCTGATGTCTACAACTGTTACCATCTATGTAGTGATTTGCTATATCTTACCGAAGCTATATTTGATTTTTACGTTTAGGATGCTGCTGAAAATGATGAAGTTGATGAAAAGAGTGGTGTATTGGAGTTCAACTACGAGAATGCAATCAATGCCTATTGTCCACCAGGTTTACGACCACTGAATTTCTTGGCATCAGAGTCCAGTTCCACACCATTAGTTTCTTCATGATCTTCCATTTTGCATTTATATTTCATTGATTCAAGGAATGCCACACAAATGATTCAGAACCCAAAAATTAATTTTCTTTCCTTTCAAGTGAATGCTTAGCTTACTTATATATATAGAATTAGGCTGACAAAAATGACTTAGCTGCATGCTTTATGTTCACAAAAATCCACTATCTAACTATTACAAACAACAAATATTAATATCTAAAAGTGGTTGGTCACTGGAGGAATGAATCGCAATTCCATACCAACCTATATTATTATGAGAAAATAACATAAATGACTATATATGCTACTGCATGTGCCGTATGCTTAAGTCTATAGTGTTTGTTGGTTTGTGAGACGTTGCAGAAAGTATTGCATCATTCAATATGTGTTGTCCGCTATTTTTGGTTCCCACCGTATCGGCAAAGTGATGATCATTGCTTCAACAATGGTTTTAAATATGATTTCACTCTTCATTCATATTATAATATTACAATAAAGCACGGAGTCTTTTGAAATAATAAAACTATAATAAATATTCTTGTTTTGTTGGAGCTTGTGTTCCTTTCTCTAATGCAGGTGGCTGAGCATGCATCATGTTCAGAGGCTGACTAACACTGTTGCAAATTTGAGAATATTTTTTTTTTCAAAGAGATGGGTAATTTAAGTCAAGTAAAAAAAAAAAGAATTAGGAAGATTGAAAAGAAAAAAGTAAACATAGGCCCAACCATGCTAGTTAAAATCGGAATCTTATCTAAAATCGGAAGAAGGATAAAAAATCGTAAAACGTAAAATCCTAACCTAAAAAAAATTGTAAAAAACCGTAATGACTTTTGTTAAGGATAAGTTGCGCAATCAGATAAGTGATGATTGATTTAACGCATGCATGCTAACTTATGTTGAATATGATATATTTGATAAAATTGATGATGAAGATATAATGCAATATTTTCAAGGAATGAACAATCGAAGAATGCTTTTGTGATCGTTCTATTGTAACAGCTTAGTTGACTCTTGATTATTATTTTTTTTATGTTAAGTTAAACTTTTCTTTTCTTGTTTATATTTTTTTAATACATTTAAAAAAAATTTAAAAAAAATCTTCGGGGCACCTCCGCCTTAAGTGTGCACACATAAAAAAAAATTCTGAGTCCGCCACTGTTCATGTTTATGAGTGCATGGGTCAATGTTTGTCCAACTACATCCATAAATGTTGCTCACCTTATCATTGAAGATTCTAGAAAAAGATATAGGGTTTCCCTCATCTTAAATAAAAACATGAACCTATGTAATAGGTTAGCCTAGTTTTGGTGAGAAAACCATCTAAAAAGAAGTTTGAGTAAGACCTATTTGGAGAAGAACTTGTAACCACTATTGTTTGTTGGTGATGCTTGAGTGTACCTCTAGTGTAACTAGAGAAGATTGAATCTCTTGTACTCCTATTTTTTGTAGTGGAATATTTTTGGACTATTGTCATGTGATTTTTACTTTTTTGTATTAGAGAAAAAATTTCACGTTAAAAATTTGTTTTTTTTTCTCTCTCCCATTTCAGCATTTTTTCTTGTTTCTACGATTTGACCGACCTGGTAACTTCTAACCGACCTTAAAGTGCCAAGCTCCGAGCTCGAGATGACGACATGAGATTTCTGCTTCCGCACTAATTAAGAGACCACATCCCAGCAGTTTTAACTTAATACATGTATTTTTGTTTTCCTGATTAGTTTTCAGTGTAAAACAGTTCTTGACAAATACCTTTGTTCTTTGCTTTATTTTTTTTTTATCCTTATAAATTTAATTATTCTTTAGTAAATTTAAATATTAGATTTAAAAGGTGTGAGAAAGATAATTTTCATTGTTAGAAAGAGAAATCGAGTCTATTGTACTCTGGCTGATTTTATGGATCTTATATAAAATAGGAAAAAAAATTATAAATTATTTTTGGTTTTATTTAATGTTTTTCTTTTATTTAAGGGGTAAATTAATTAAATATTTCTAAAAGTATTAATATTTTCATAGTTAATTCAATATAATCATTTTTAAATGGATCTATCAAATTAAATTTTCACTTTTTCTAATTATAATTAAAATTTCAAACTTTCTTCTTGATTTCAAAGACTAGTTTGTAAAATAAAGCATTTTTTAAGTTTTATCACATTAAATAAAGGGGAAAATATTTTGAATTATATATTTAATATGGCTCATTACATATACATTATTACATTAACAATAATAGAAAAACTAATTGACAATAAAATAAAATAAAATTCAATATAAGAAATATTTTTGTGGGAAATGAATTTCTTTAATGTCTTATTTTAAGATAATCCTGTCAAAAAAAATTATTCATTCATAGATCAATAATCAATTAATATGGTAATTTTCTATTTTTTATTTTAAGAATTTTATTATTAAAATTACAATTGTTTATCTATCAATGATTAGTTAAGTTTTTTCATATGACATAATTAAGTTAAAAATATGCGTTTAATGTTTCTTCTTTTACTGCAGAAATTTTTTCTTATTCACATTCATAAGAGTGAGCGAGTTCCATTAATCTTTTCTCTCTCTTATCTTTATAACGGGATCCACTCACTTTTACATGAGTGTAGCAGAAACAAAAATTCTACATTAAAAGCAGAAATATTTTATCCAAAAAAATATATGAGAGAATTGTTTTTTCACTAGAGGTGAGAAAGAAATCAATAAAAAAAAAATCAATGTTGATTTATTTTTTACTTCTTGTGTGCTAAATAATACTACGTACGTCATGAGTATCTCATTAACATTTATGCCATTGTTAAATTTATATAATCTCAATTTGCATATGCATTGAATAATTAGAAAAACAAAATTTGAAGCTTTTCCAAACTGATCCATATTACATCCAATTAGATCCAATGGTACTGTAAAAGTGACATTTATCTAATTAATTCAACTCCAATATAATATGTAGCAATAGCAGAGTAAACGATGAACGAAACGTTAATTATTTTGGAAGAGTGTCACACTTCGCAAAAAAATTTATTAGACTGTCACGATAACAGTAAATTTTGTCAAAATGCTGTTACACCAACAGTAAATTTTGCCAAAATACCACGCGGCATATTTCGCTACACTGTGTAGCGAAATATGTTTGCAAGTAATTCGCTACACAGTGTAGCGAAATATGCCATGTCAGGCTGCACAGTCAGCAAAAAATGACACGTGTCAAGCAGGCAGAAATTCGATGCATTACCTATTATAAGTACTTTTAGAGAGAGACTAACCATTAATGCTAATAGTTTCTTATTAAGGAGTGTAGTTTCTCATGTTGCATTGTCTGATGGGGTGTAAATGGGCCGAGCGGCTCGTGAGAAGTTCAAGGTTTGACTTGCTTTAAATTTGACTTGACCTGACTTGTTTAATAAATAGAACGGCCCAAGCTTTAAAAAAAACTTGTTTAGCAAACAAACCCAATCCTAATTTAATGAAACTTGTCTTGAAAGCCCGTGAGCTAGCCTAATATACTTTTATTATAAAATATATTTTTATGTCACTGAATCATTTATCCTATTTTTTATGATTTTCTACAAATATTCTCTCATAGCCACAGTTTCACAAACAAGCTCTCTGAGTATTGGTCTCTCCTTTCCTCCCTCGGTCATGGCTAGATAGCATGAAAGATGTAATTATATATGGAATAAGTGAGTTCTATGATTATTTTTTCTCTAATAAAGGAATACAAAATTTCATGCATTTATAGTATCAACATTTGGACATATGTAAGATTAGAAAAAAAAATACATTTTATAATTATAAATAAGTCAAGTCAAACTCAAACTCAAACAAAGCTTTTAATTTTTTATAAGCAAGTCAAGCCAAGTCAAGAATTTAGTTTGTATCAGGCTAACTGGCCAAGTCAAGTTCAAAATATTTTTTGCAAGCTTGGTTCGTTTAAGCTAAAGTTTGGCTCAACTCAGCTCATTTATATCCGGCGTCTCATGTAACATATAAAAAAGTAAGTGAGAGCCAAGAGACAAAAAAAAAAAAAAAAAAACAAATGAATCTCGTTCACCTTTGAAAGAAAGGCATGACACAGAGCACCTTTGAGTTATGCATCCGATTTGGACATAAGTTTCCTGAAACGCTACCAATATTACCCAAAGCTTCGTTCCATAACTTTGTAAACAAAAGTTTTGCTGTTTACAGTAATACAAAACTGGACCGACGTACTCAAAAAGATATTTGAATTTTTTTAAATAATTACATTTAAAAAATAAAAAATATATTGGGTTTGTGTTTTAATTCAAACACTTAAACTTTACTTAAATTTATTATATTATTTACGAAAATCTTCATCATCAATCCGATTGCAACATGCTTCTGTGTATTATACCTACTATTTTTATTAAAATTTGAAACGTGACAGTTGGTTTCAAGTTTGAAATCTGTCATTACGTTTCAATGCTTTATTTTGTTATCGGTAATATCTTATGACAATATTATCCATCCATGATCCAACAAGTAAACATGTGCGATTTGATATTAACAAACCATCCAATGCTAAACCGAACACAATCTTTCTATTCAATATTTATACAATATACAAAAAAGTGAAAAACGCAATATATGAAATATTTTTCTGTCAAATTTCATCCACCCAAATTATTTTAACCAATCATAGGAGAAATTGCAACATGAACGGAGAGAGAAATAAAGAAAATTTAATTAAGAATGTAAATCTAAATTTCTTTAAAAGCAAAAATCATAGAAAGAACACTATTCTTTTTCTTTATTTTTTTATACAAGTGGGAATGTAAGTCTAAATTTCTTTAAAAGCAAAAGTAATAGAAAGAGCACTATTCTTTTTTTTTCTTTTTTTTATACAAGTGAGAATTGAACATATAACCTAATATAAACTATCCAAACCCCTCACCACCAGACCAATCCTAATGGCTTTAAATATTTAGTTAAAGAGAACTATTCTAAATCATTACAAAAAAGGCAACAATCATAACTATAAGAATTAATGCTGGAAATATGTAATAAGCAAATTGGGTACCAAAATACAAAAGG